TCTTTTATTTGCTATGTACCTATAGAAGCCAAACTACTATTTGCTATGTACCTGTGGAAGCCAAAGCTACTTCTATCCTTGATCCACAGGGAAATTGCAAGAATATCCAAAATAATAGAATTGTGCTTTGAAGTATCAGATTGTACAGTGTGTTTATTTCATAAAAGTAATAAAGTAATAAAATATTCCTTGTCTTCAGAACTATAATGGAATTAAAATATTACACATTATATATTATCTCTTGATTTTTACTAGAAACTTTATGAAAGCATGCCTTAAAATAAAATAAAATAAAGTCTTAGATAAAGTGCAAATACAGACGCTTGAAGCAGAGATTCATGAAGCAGGGCTTGCATCCCCAGTTCAGGATTGCAGGGAAGAGGGCTATTTAGACATACCCATTTCATTAATGTCCCCAGATGGCTTGTGTAGTCCTACAGTTTGAGACCTAGCTCAGTCTTAGTCCTAGAAGCTGAAACTCCTTGTTTATGGTGCAGCTCAGCTACATTAATTCTCCTTCTAAGCCTAATCTTCATTCCTGTGGTGGGTGAGCATCTATATGTCTCGTCCTTCATAGATGTAGCCCAAAGTAGTTTTTACACATCCATTTGTGAGCAATTTGTTTAATCTTGTAGGACCTGCTCCTTAGAGGTACTGCTGCTATGGATGTTAACTAGAACTCTTGTCCATAGTCCTTGGATAGAAACCAGGTACTGAAAGAAAGATGAATGTGGAAGTTTCTTCTATTATTAATAAGTGAAGTGGTATAGCTGATGAGTTTGTAGCAGAATTATGAGCAAGAAGATACTGGAGAAATGAACATCAAGTTATGAGCTTTGTTCGCAAATGGTTTTAAATAAATTGCTAACATTAAGTGACTTACAGAATATATGTGTTCCTGTACTGAGGAATCTAGGTATGATCTGTCCAGATGCATATAGAACATACTGCATTCTTAAATTTTCTTTTGGTCTTTTTCAGGTCCATAATATATTGGCTGAAATGGTCATGGGTGGAATGGTTTTGGAGACCAACATGAATGAAATTGTGACTCAGATTGATGCTCAAAACAAACTGGAGAAATCTGAGGTAAGAGTGATGCACTGTGTAGTTTCTAAACTTAAAAACATGGTTGCAGTAAATGTGTGCTATATAATGCTGTTTGTCCTTCAGTAGTAAACTATATACAGCTGCTTGCTTCTAAAGCTAAAAATTGCCAATGTTTCTTTAGGTTAGGATGTCATGTCTTTCATCCTAAGTAATAATTGCTTAGAGTTGCTGCTGCTTAGATCTTGCTGTTTATATCTAATAGCGTTGTGAGCCATTGTTACTGGCATACTTCTGTAGTTCAAATTTCTCTTGAAGAAAACATTTTATTTCCAGTGTATTTATTATGCTGGACTAGTGACTATAACACTTAAATGAAAATAGATAAAAACTAAAGTGCGTATACAAAGACTACATATTCCTGTCTGCTAGAATGTTGCTAGCACCTGAAATAAATCACAGCATATTTAGCATCACAATAATCATATTGCAATACAAAATAAGAAATTGGACAAAAATGGACTACATAGAATTTAAAGCCCAGTTTTAGACCTTCAAAGTATATACAAATTCTTCCGTTTTGGTAATCTGAACATTTGGTCTTCAGCTGAGTAGATTTGAGTAAGAAAGTGATAGTCTGTGTATGTCCATAGCAGTCTGAGTGAGCGATACATAAATTGTGGGAATCCCTTTTCAATTCAACAGTTGTTGAATTTGTGTGTAGGAAAATCTAAGGAAAAACTTAAGTAAGGGTTTTAGAATTACTTTAGCTGTGACAGAATATTACTGTTCCTTTAACATCACTAGCATGTCTTGTAAGCCCAAATACTACTAGTTATCTTAGCTTAGTCTGTGACTGATTTCTGTTGCTCAGAGTAATTCCACAGAACACATCATCTGATTTTTGAAGTGTAATACTCATATTTCTAAACAAACCTTTGCTTGATTTGGAGACTTGTTTGTAAAGTTGAAGTCAGCTGAGTAGATTGAAATATTGCAGGTTGCATAAATATGAACTAAATGACATTTTAGGAGAAGACCCAGAGAGCTTCCTAATTTTAACTTCAGTGCAACAAAGAGAGAAATGAATTCTTCAGCTTTTTGTGGTACAATGTATACTGTTCTCCTAATTCTGCAGTCTCATGCTGCACCACTTCAAGTTCTTTTAGTACATTAGAACACTTAATAGTCTGTTTTGCACAGCTTCCAAACTGTATCCAAGAGCAGGAGAACACTGTGAAAACCAGGAAAAAGCTAGGTATGATACAATGCGTAGCAATATACATCCAGAAGGCTTGTATTGTAGATTATGAAGATGTCCAAAATGTTCATTTGAACCTTTTTCTCAAACTCAGAATGAGCCATTGATCACAGAGATAAATATTTGGAATTATTCTCATAATTTTTTACTATATTTTAGTAACTTCTGTATACATACATTTTTCTTTATTTGATGGAAAAGTAACATAGTGTCCCAGAAGCTGAACTTACTGAGCAGCTATGTTCTACCATGTATTGTGTGCATATCAGTTCTACCTAAAGCACTTAATGTATTTATTCTTAATTATGTGAATTCTGTTACTAAATTAACTGTAGACCAGTCTCTACCTAGTCGTCTGAAACACATCAATTCAGTGCAGCCAGCTAAAATGCTTGCTGTTTTCCATTATTCATCAGTTAGTCATTCTTCTTTAAGATGCTTTTAGTATAAAAATAGGTGGTAGAAGATATAAAAAACCCATGTAGAGTTCAGAGCATATGCAGAGCAAGTAGCAATCTGTTCCTCGCCATTCAGCAATGAATTATAAAAGGTAAAGAACTAGCAGTGATAAATTAAATCACTTGGTGACTGGGATGGAGTAGAGCATTTCACAGTCTGCTCACCACAAATTTCTTTTTCTTAGTTCAGTGACTGTTTCTTGTTAAGTTTAACAGTTGAGATACTGTTATGCTGAGATACTTCACTATACCTGGTAACTATTTCCTCAGATCATTAATCATTTGTTTCATGTATATTCACAGAAATTCCTGATTGCTATTTCTTTTGCTTTTGTCTTTCTGATCAAGATTGTAAGTCTTTGAACATGTCTTTCCTGAATACTTATTTTCAAGATACAAGCAAATCTATTTTGTGTAAATCAAAATCAGTAATAATATAATAATATTTTTGAATGCTGGTCAGTGAGAAATCAAAACTAGTGGATCTTCTTAGTTTTCTTTAATTTAAAAGATTATTTTTAAAAATATAGTAATTATTATTGATAGAGTCTGTAGTTCATAGGGCTGCCACCTAAGCCACAACACTCTCACTTCTGTCTGTTTGGCTTGTTAGACTTTTGTCTTGGCTCCATAAAATAGCTGCTTTAAGGTTTAATTACCTTTTATAGTTGAAATCATTAAGCTAATTAAGTTGTAACTCAGCTATGTTTTCAGAAATATTTTATATCTTTTATTGTGCCCACCTGGTTTCCCATAATACACAGAATTTAGCCATTTGACATCAGGTATTTGTTTAGTTATATTACCAAGTTTTTAAACAGGCTTTCAGTTAGAATTCAGTGAAGAAGTTTGAATGTATTTATTAAATTCACAAATAGTTGAGCAAAGTTACTAAATCAAAAAAAAATTGTTAATGCTTTCAACAGAGATTAATTATATAAACTATTGTGAGGGAGTCCCTAGCTTTGATTTCTGATCCAGCTCTTACATTGCTTGGGTGGGCTATGAAGGAAATTCTATTTCTACCCTGAGAAATGTTGTCTTAAATGCATTTCCCTACCTTCCAGTTTAGCGTTTATCTGTGAATGGATTTCTGGTCAATCCTCCTAATGCCAAAGGATCACTGTGATTAAGGGAGGGAATTTTTGGGAGAGGGGTCATTGGGATTTTATCCAGAGCCTCTGGAAGTATTATAAGTAAGCCTGGGCTACCTCTTCTCTATTTGGAGTGTTCAACTGCGTGTGATTTAGACTTTTAAGTTGGACCTCATTTTTTCCGAACCTCCTGATCTTTTCTAGCTCTTTCCATTCTTCTCTCTTGCAGACCTTTATCTTTCAGTCTCCCAGACAGGACAGGTAGACAAAGGTATTGCTGAATTTTAGAAAAAATGTACTTTTAACAAAAAGGGAAAGCAAAATGATGTCAAAGGCAATAAATTATGTAGGCCAGACTCAAAAATTATGTGTAAAAATACCCATACTAGTCCTTGTAGCCTACTTTTTGTGCTAGTTTCTTCTTGTAGTTCCCTCATCTTTTTATTGGCTATAGTGTATTTTACTAGCTTTCCATTGACATCATATTTTTTATTTTATTTCTCTTCCTGCATTTTAGAATTTAACTTTTCTTTTTATCATCATTTAAGAAACAAAGGAATATGAACTTGTATGAATATTTACAAAAAAACCCCCAACAAAACTGATCTAAATAAAAATTGAACACACAGATAACAAAATATGGTGTGACGATATAATGGAAATAGCTTCCTTATTGGGAGAATTTTGTACCTGATATTTAAAATAGGCAATATGAACCTTTTGCTTCACCATTTAGTATTCCCAATTGAAAACAAAGAACTTTTGCCAGTTTGCAAAGAGAAGTTTCTGAATAAGTTTCAGGTGAACAAGACATTAAAAAAACCCCAAAACCAAACCAAACCAACCAAACACAAAAAAACCCAAACCAAACACCAAACCCAACAAACTCAAATAGTTATGCATACAAAATAAAATTAGCGGTGCAATTTGTAAAGATGATCTTTAAGTATATCAAACAAAATGAGAAGGGCATCAGCATGTACTTAACTTCAGAGGTACATTTGCTGCCCTTGCAATCTGAATTACTGGATTTTGCTTTAAGATATCTTGGTAACTGCAGTCATTGAACATCAATATTAACAAGGAACCGAAAAAGGAGAAGGAAAATGTATTTTTGAAGTTCAGTTTATGGTCATTGTTGCCCATCATTTGCTATTTGAAACAGCTTAACAGTTTGAATGTCAGTCAATGTTAACTGCAGTACTTAAAAAATCATTTCCACTCATTTTAAGTATCTGTGTATTCAAACTACAGGTATCTTAAACAGCTGGAAGCTTAAGCAGATGAAGTTTATTTGATTTATGAATAGCTTTGCTTTTTACTTTTTACATGATCTAAGATAAAATAATGTAATACCTCCAAGATCTAAAAACTATAATTCTGCGATTGGATTTAGTAGCACTAAGTTGTAAAGCGTTAGCTAAGAATATTTTTGGGTAGTATGAAACATTTTACCTAAATTTGAAGTATGCTATAGCACATGAAGAAAATCAAGCAAATGACCTTCCTCTGCCTAATGTGTCAACACTTGTAACATATAATCTGTATTTCATTGTAGCAGTAGGGAGCTTGATTTCTATTTTATTTTTATTATTTGTGCAAAGCTAATTTTCTTTTTTTCTGTTCTGCTCGCACATACTCTGTTTTTATTTTTGGGTCTGGCAATGAAAAACAAACAAACAATTAATCATTCCCATCCATTACTCTCTTTGTGATTCAAGTGCTTAAAATTTCTAAGAGTATGTCTTAAGTCTTCTTATCTGTTTGGCCTCATTTTGATATACTTGCAGACTTCATTTTGTTTTTTCTCTAATTATGTTCATTTATTTAACTTCATAAGCAGGGGACATGGTCATTCCTTTATATTATGTATTGCATCCTTTCACGATTTCATAACCCTGCTGCTTTGAAGTCATACTTGTACTGGAAAGAAGCATTGGTATGAAACACCAGCAGCAGAAAGGTCCTAGGACCTCCAAAATACCTGGAAAAGGGTGGCTTATTTTGCAAAGCGTTAGCCTTCATTGTTTTGTTTTCCAGTAGGCTGTATATTTTTATATGTTTATTTTAGGGATAGCTAGCTCTGTGTAGAGTTGTTTGAGATGGAGGTTTGAATATTATTTTTTTTTATTCATATATGCATATTAACTACATTTGTGATGTGCAATACTTCTTTGAAATTATCTGCATTTCTTTATAAAGAGTAAAACAATGTTTCTGAGATCGCTTTCATATGAAGTTATTAGTGGGGCATTATGAGAAAAGGTGATGATAAGAATTAAGAAAATTGGTTCCTGTGATGATAAATAATGACCTAAATAAACTAACAGATCATGGTGGCACTTGGTAGAATAGGCCAAGTAGAATAAAAGTTCTGTTATTAAAAGTGTCTATTCCAACCTTTAAAATAAGTTTTTTTAATGTATGTGGCATTGCTTTTTCACTCTAAAACTGTACGAGCATGTTTACGTGCATTTTTTACAGTAACTGAATCTAAAATTTTAATATACAGCATTTCAACATTGAAGTGCAACCTCCAATAAAAAAATACATTGAGAATACAAAGCAGCTGTGGCAAAAATGTGGTGTTCTGTAATACCAGCTGTATGCAATTCGTACTGTATTTCTGAAATTTTATTAATATGTCTTAAGTTTCATTTTCACTGCTTTAGTCATTTGCTCACTGTGACAGACAACCATCATTCACTGCGTGTTTAAAGCTTGCTATGTGTTTTGGTTGTTTTCTTTTCTAAAGTGAAGCAGTTTTTTCTTTGCACCTCACCAACTACCCGCTGAATTATTTTACAAAAAAGGCAGTTGAAACTTGTCCAACTCAGTGTTACAGTGATGGCTCTTTAATTGAGTACCTCTATAAGACTCATTAAATGCACACTGAGCTGGAAGTACTTCTTGTAGTGTCTTTGTGTTTGTAAGCACAGTTCACTTTCTGTAAAAGAAATTATAGATAAATGGAAGACTGCGTACTAGTTCACTGTTGACACGCTAAAAAGGAATGCTAAGGTATTTGTATATAGTAGTGTTTGAAATAAGGTATAAGTTATCCAGTTTGGAAGTTTAAGTACTTTTCAGTCATTTTATCCACTAGACATTTTTTATGAACTGTTTGCTGTCTTAGAAATACTGCATGTGACTGTATTATGCTTGATAGGGTTGATGTTAATTGTCATAAATAGCATTCTGCTATGCATATTATGTGCACATTGAGTTACAAACCTACTTAATATAGAGAATTACAGAAGAAAATGTGATAGTTTGAAAATCTCTACTCCAGCATATGATAATGAAAAACAATCTCGATGGCAAAAGTAAAGAGATAATCTCAAATTCATAGTGCTTTTCTCAGGGGTCTTTTCTGATCCTGATCCAGAACAGTCCTCATGAAACATGACTGATGAAAGTTGTGACTGTATAGGGGATGGAAGGATAATGGTCATGTCAATTGTGGTGTTTTAAATAATTCTCAATTGTGTCTCCATTGTATCCTCTGCCATTGGGGCGGGAGGCAGGGATTTAGTCTGTGTAAAGAGGATAGCTTCAGGTAGGTAAAAATAATGACCAGTTATACAAAAGCTTTTATTTGTCCATTATGAATAATAAACTTCCATTAAATTAGAGTAAGGAATCTCCATGCTAGTCACCTAGAAGGCATCTCTCTTTTGAATTGCCAGCCATGCCTGTTTGTGTGGACCACGTCCATCACTTAAGATATTTTTCTGATTTCCCATTGTTTCAGTTACAAATTGTATAATTCATTGCTTTTGTTAATACTTCATTAGTATTTTCATCTTCTCTGTGGAAGACAATTTACATTGCCCCACTTTTGGTTTTGCTTACAGAATTTTTCAGAAAGTTGCTGAATACAGAATTTGAAGGATAGAACCGAATAAAAAGGAAATGCATTTTATTTTTTTTAATCTGGGAAAACTTCACTGGTAGTTACCTCTTGATTTCAAATTGGTATTTCCAAGTTCTCAAATATAAAAAGGCAGTGCTGAGCAGCTTGATATCTTCTGCACTGTTTTTTAATAGATAGAAATAAATTGCAGTGTCTCATACTGCTTCTCTAAGATACTGCAGATTCGGGGGTGAAGATTTTGGATACTTGCATTTCTTAAAACTACTAGTGTTAGGTCTTCATAAAGGTACTGCAAATGAGACAGCCACTGAGTGAATGATCTGGTAGACTTGGTGATGTTAAGGGAAACCAAGGAAAAAGAGTCTTTGCAAATACCTTTTCATACCTTTTTAGTTTTACTTGGTCTGTACTGCGGGGAGCCAGTAATTTGGATTATGTCAGGGCCAAAGTGGGAGCAAATTATTTGGTTGCATTAGAGACTTAAGATTTCCTGAGTTTTCTACTCTACCCCCACATGCCTTACCCAACTCTGTCATTTCTTGTATATGAGGGTTTGGCAGGGGAGATGTTGTAACAGATGATTCACGGCTTTCTGGTCTCTGTGCCTGGTACTGGGAATCCTCCTGTGACTAAAATCTAGGGATTTATGGTGCTTTAGCCTTTCCACATGATATAAAAGGGTTAGTTCAAAATTGGAAACTTTAATCGGTTTTACTTTGACTGTGGGTTATGTTTTTGAAGGGAGAAGGGGAACAGAAGGTACAATATTAAATGGAAATCTCATGTTGATTTGACCTTACAACTTTTTCTTGTAAGAGAGTAGTAAAAGAGAGAAAATACTATTTTTGGACAGCCTTTGAAAAGTAGAGTTGTTATCGAAGGAGTATATAGTGTGTCTGTCTCCTTTTGTGCAGTAGTGCACGTGGGTACCACCACAGAAATCAGATGTACTTCTCAGTAATTATACCCTGTAATTGCAATGAATCTCAGTGGAAATCAAGACTCTGGAAAGGTTATACTTTAAGCAGTAGTCACATACCAACACTATTTAACAATCAAATATGACTCAAACTTTTCCAGAATTTTTTTTTTTTTGTTTTGCTGTATTCCTTGTTCAGAATTATTTTATCTGCAAACGCATGCAGTCTTTGACACTCTCACAATGACAGACCTTCCGTTTCTACAAGTCTAGTCTTTCGTTTAAGCAGTTCTTAGCATGTTCCTATGTTTGTTGTGAATTGTTCCTTTTTACTAGGCCTGCAAGATGCCACACTCCAGAACCATAGCAGTTCTGAAAATAATTTTGTGGGTTTTATTCTTTCTGAAGATTTTAATTGTACTTTTAAAACATAAAAATAAAAGTTAATTTTTTTACATATTAATGTATCTTAGAATATGATGTAATTTTCTGCAAATAAGAGCACTGTTTTTAAAATCTTCCAGGCTTTTTTTTCCCCAAAAAACAAAAGTTATGTTTACACTTTTTTGGAAAGCCTGAGGTAAAACCGCACAACTAATTCTAAATACACACAGAGAAACTGAACTTCTGGGAGAAACATTTCCATACTTAATAGTACCTTTTATACACAGCATCAAATACAATACTTAATTATTGGCCTTTTTTTAATAGTCCTTGAAATAACAAGGTTTTGAAGAGGTGACCTTCAGCAGCAACAGGGAAGGATCCTGTTCTGTATGTCTTCAGACCTCTGAGCTGTAAATCATTACAGCTGAATGCTGTTTGTTAGCATTTCAGTAATATACCCTAGTGTGTAAACTTGGCAGTCTTTAAAAGGTAGAACTAAATGGGAGTCAGTAATGAACTTCCTTCTGTATTACAAAACTTGCATGTTTATGCAGGAAGGCTCTGGTTTTAAATAAAGAGACTATGCACAGTAGAGGACTTTAATACAAAATAGTTACTTCAACGTTTAATTTGGCATAACCAAGTTATTTTGTCATGTTCCAGTGTGCCTGGGGGCTGAAGGTATGTTAGCATTTAATTTGATACTGTGGGATAATGGATTACTCCAGTTGGTCTGTAGAAATGATCTCTCTGCATGCTCTTTATTAGCTGCAAAAGCAAGGTATTTATCCTTTTCATTTTAGCAACCGTGAAATATCATATATATACACACATATATAAGTTATTTAATTAAGTAATATGGTTCAACTGACATTCAGTAGCTTGTTACTTTGAGGTTAAGTATTCTGAACCTATAACCAACATTAGTCAACTGTCAATCACGTGAACTCTTTAGAATAGTTAAAAGACAGCATATATGATATACCTCAAGATTGTCTGTTCTATAACGTACATGTTACACACGCTTGGATAAGCCTCCTATTCCTCCCCACATACTTTTCCATCAAGTTGACATTACATGTTTTACCATATAAAAAGGAATGTGTGAACTGTTTTCTCTTTCTGGTTTAATATTTCCAAATAACCCATTTCATTCCAAACACAATTACCATCTGGTCTTTCTAATTGTGTAACCATGGGAATACTTGAAAAGTTAGTTGTGTGTGTATACTGCTGATGAATTTTCTTGTGACCAGCTTTGCCTGACTTGCGTTTTTCCTCACTTTATACACAGGCTGGTTTAGCAGGAGCTCCAGCCCGGGCTGTTTCAGCTGTGAAGAATATGAATCTGCCAGAGATCCCAAGAAATATTAATATTGGTGACATCAGTATAAAAGTGCCAAACCTGCCCTCTTTTAGATAACATGTCTACTCCAGGTAAAACCAAGGAAGAAATGTTAACAGAGATTTACCACGTAATTGTTTACTAAATAAACAACATGTCTAACTTTTACTATTTGGATAAAACTCAAGGTACTGTATAGACATAATTTGAAAATCTGTGTGGAGTTGAATGTTGCTTTTGTCTTGTTTGTGAAATTAAAGGAAATGGGTGATTCCCATGTGATTTCCAAATTACATTCCTATGCCCTTGTAAGGCATATCACTGTGTCTCGGCTGCTGCAGTATTTTGGGAAAGTATTTAAGATCTTCTTTACTTTGTATAACCTATTATGCTGAGGTTTTTTGTATGTTCACTACAGTCAATAATTAGTGCATTCCTTAACAATTTCTGCTGTTTGTCATGATTATCCTAAGACTTCAGTGCAAATGGTGCATGAAAACATCAAACTCTTGTTTAAGTAAAATAATAAACTAGACTTCTAAATACCCATTTGTCCGAACTCTACTCTTTGCAATAAGTCATGTTATTTCCTATTCATGGAGCCAGTTGAGTATATATAAATATTATTGTAGCAGGCATTAATGTTGTAGCTTAATCTCTGAAGGAATTACATGGGGATATCGTGTTGAACATATTGCCTCTTTACATTGCTCACAAAAGCTGTTCGTTATTATTCTGAAGGAAAAATTGCCTTTACTGAAGATCTGATGACTTCTGTTTACATATAGATGTTGAGAAGATACTTACGCAATCTGTTAGACTTTCTGATGGTCTGCTTTGTTTTGAGAAAAAGACCACTGTGTGTTACGTGGAAAGTCCAGAATGATCTGAGAAGATTGGGCAGCTCAGAACTGTAAATGTGAGTGGTTTAAGTAATGTGATAAAGGCACTCTGGAAAGGTAAATGAGGGTACTTTAATAGTGCCTCTGTGCCTGGTGATATTTGTGATTCTGTACTTTGAGAATTAAATTTATAAGATGCTTAGTATTGTCAAGACCTCAGAAAATCTAAATGCAATCACCTCTGTGTAAGTTGCTCAGCTCTTCAACTCTTCTGTGATTTAAGAAAAAGTAAAGCAGGTAGTGCTTGTTTTTTATAATCATGCTTTTAAGCTCTGTGTGATGTACAAGTCTCTTTAAATAAACAATAAAAATATCATTGGCATACTTAAGGATTCCTGTAAAGTTTTCTTCTCCAAAAAATTATGCACCCAATATTGTATATGAAAATACAATAATACTGTATCAAGGGCAGCACATTTCAGAACTAGTCTAACAGGTCCTGTGTTATGTCAGAAATTTGGAGTTTTATGTAAATCAAGCATTCTTTTCCTTGAGCTGAATATTAAGACATGGCCCATAGGATAAACTTGAAATCACATCACATTTTCTGTTTGGTCCATAGTATTATCACTGGTCCTTTTTGAAAGAGAAAAAGACAAAGACAAATTACTTCTGAAGCAGAACATCTGGTACAATCCAAAGAATTTTAATATATTTCTTAGGGAGGGGAAACAGAAGCTTCATGTGTGTTGTTTGTACTGCATTCAAGAAGCATCAAGTAACACTACCTAAAAAATGCTTTTGAAAACCAAATTGCCCTCTCCGTATCTCTTGAAAATTAACTTTCTTAGTTTAAGGCTTTAGGAAATTTCAGGTGGGGTTTAATTAGAAAACTGCCACTTTCTTATTTCCACTGAAGAAATAGGGAGAACGAAACATGGCATTCTTTTCCCTATAAAGGATTTTTTAGTATGCCCAAGTTTGACAGCTTAGCTAGTACCAATCTGGGACTGTTGTAATTTTACCTGCTTTTGTCAACTTTCATTTTTTTGCTTAATGCATAGACCATGTGACATTCAAAGTTAAAGATGCTGAAAATTTTCTGCATTGTTCCCCCTTTGAGGTTTTAGTTACTGCTGCTGCTAAATGATACTCTGACCCACAGAGAGTTCTTCTTGCTGTTTGTGAGAGGAGCTCACAGTTTCAGGAATTCTTCGAAATCCTCTATTTTTTTGTCTCACTTTTTTCCCTCTCTTTGTTTTCAGATTTGTAAGCTTATGTAGTTACATTATTTTTTGTTCCTTGCAGAGAAATCTTGTCTGGATTTATTTGAATCAAATAGTTTTCCAAGTCCTTAGAGAAAATATGTCTGAAATGCATCTGACATGAAGTCTATATCGGATTAATTTCTCACCTCTTATCTGTCAGTAGCTAAGCTTTCATTCATTTTTGTGAACTAGATCTTAGCAATTTTTTTTTTTTAAGCTGTGTGTTCTGCGTTTATGTTGTTTATAGTACCTTTCTCCTACCTGACATCATGACATCTGCCAGAAAGGATTCTTCTCTGGACAGCTCATAGACACCAGACTTTTCAAGAAGCTTCTGTGTTTCTGAGTGTTTAATGCAGGGCTCTGGCTTCCTTATTCAGAAAATCCTTGGATGGGGAGAAATTCTTTGTATGATTTTCACAGTAAAGCCACACTGCTTTCGAAGAGAGATCTCTCGCGTGCAGAAGAGGTACCATACAGAAAGCCTGAATGGTGATTTTCTTGGGTTTTTTTTCTTAAATAAAAAGAGGTGGTATGACAATGTGGGCTTCCTCAGGGCAGCTGAACCTGTCTGTTAGCCACCCCTTATCCTGAGACTGTCTTCAGATTGCCATACGATCTTCAGATCATGTCTTTTTACCATGTCATTTGGCACTGGCAGGCCTTAAACTAGTCAGAGCAAGATGGGATTCGTGATTCATAGAAGTTACGGAAGTGGTATTCTAACTCTTTACCTTCTAGGGCTTGCTTTGTATTGCATATGTTCAGAGGTTTTCCACAATGCTGATCTGCTTCTGTTCATCACCTTTGTGAAAATCATACGCCTTTTGAATTCTCTCTATTTCACCAGTGTCCTCTTAACTAATGCTTGGGATTTAAAATGGAAATTAGCTGTGGGCTGTAAATGATTAAGCTCCTGATTATAAATGTAAATGTTTTAATGCTTTTATAATCACCCCCCCCCCAACCTTTACTATACATTTATGTTTGTGTGTGTATGTGTATATGAAATACCAACCTTTTGCACTAACTGTTGTTAAAAAGGAGGAGAGGTCATCTTGAGTCATCCTTTAGCTGCAGAACCCAGGCAACTAATTTGCAATACTCCATCTCCATGGGGCCTGCCTTTTAGTGACATTGATCAGGGTGCCAGCATGTGTAAATGAATCATTCACAGCCATTTTTCCTAACTAGGCATTTCTTAGAACTGCAAATGAAACATTATTAAACAGTAACTGAGACTATTTGGTACTTATGGTACCTGAGATAACACCTCATTTATTGGTTTCCCACATTAAGTTTTCTTTCCTGTTAAATTCAGTTTCCCTGCTAGTGAAATTCTCCGGGAAGAAACCTTTTCATGTGATCGTGGCAATTTAACTGAAGCAAGTATTATCTGTACTACTTTTTGATAGTCCTTGATAAATCATGCACAGAGATAATTTTAAAGAGACTGTGTAGCATTAATACACATTAAATAATAAAGCCTTCAGGATGTCTTAATCTCTTTTTCCTGCATTTCTTCACACCTCCTGTTTCTCAATTGTCAGAAGGTCCCTGTATCACGGGTGGTTACATGTCTCAGTATACCACAAGGTAAGTATTTTCCATGTTTATTTGTATTCTGGGGATGGGGGGTGAAATGCCCTCAGAAAGCAAGCTTGAGGCTTGGGTGTTGTGGCTGTTTGGATTGCTTGTCTCCAAACATAAGGATGTTGCTGCTGTGATTTATTCTGCTTGACAGGAGCGAGTGGAGGGAAGTGTCACTTGTTGTGAAAGACAAACAGGTTCCAGCCAGAAACTCAGATTGGCACTGTCTTCCTGTGAGCACATGTGATCTTTTCTTTCTAGTGGCACATTCCAATAAATGCTAAAATTAGTCCTGAGTTTTACTTAGGCCTATGCTGACAGCCAGATGGGAACTTGCTAATGTTCTAAGGGTTACCTCATAAAGCCCCTTGATACTGTATTATAGCGTATGTGGGGCATAAAATACTGAAGGAACTGGAGATTAAAATGTCACAAATAATTTTCTGTTCGTAGCTGTTGAAGAAAAACAGAGCCTAAGTCTCACACAAGATATATTTCTCAACTTCTGCACAGAGTGCTCATAATTCTACTAGGAGCAAGGAAAGCAGCCAAGTACTACCAAAACTGACTAAAGGTGAACAGTTCGTTTCACACAAAAATAATATTTTGTTATTTACTTTTATGATTATCATAACAAACTTGAAATCTCTCTTCAATTAAGGAAATTATCTGTCCTTGCAATTTTTTTGCTCAGTGTTTACCCCAGCACACTGGAGGAGCTCAGGTAATGTTATTATTTCCTTTCCATACTTGGAATCACAAAGATAGTCACACTGCAATGCCAGCTTAGGAGCCACATTCCTTGCCTGCAGAAGTTTTGGCCTTGTGGTGCATTAGGTGTGCTGTGACAGTGTGGTCTGAATGGGTGGAGACATCCTGTCTTTGTGAAGACTGAGTGTGTCTCTGACTGGAGGGCTGGAGGCATTTGAGTTGGTCTGTCATCCGTCCTGCAAGGCACAGTGACAGGCACTTGTGCCATATTCCACTGCCTTCCTGCCCAGTTTATCTTTTCTGAAGCTTGGCAGCACACACAGGCTCCAGGTGTCCCTTTCTGAGCTGCTTTACTCTGCTGTCTGGCCAGCCAACAGGACTGCGCCAGAAGTATAGCAAACCCCATTCCAAATTCTCTCTACAAGCATGTCGCAAGAGCTGTAGCTAAAAGCAGGCCTGTGGCCATGACTGTGAGCTGCTTGGATGGATATGTGTCTGGTATCCTTGTTTTATTTTGGCTTTCACAGCCAGATCCATGGACCCTCTTCTGGTATAATCTTCAGTACTCTTCAGAATTGCAGTGGGACACAGGTTGAATTTTACAGCTTCAGATATTTGCAGAGCACCTACAGGACTCACGTATGGAAGGATACCTACATGATCAGCACTCTGCATGCATCTGAGAAACTTTTGCCGTCAGTGTGGCCATGGTAAGTGACCCACATCTTCTCCTCCAAAGGCTCATCCCAACAAATCCGACCAACCAGTCCGCAGAAGTGCATGGAGAAAAGCAAAACCAGAATGGACTCTGCATTGAAAAAAGTCTTTATTGTGCTGATATGTTTCAGGACAGCAAAGATCTTGCATGATTCAAGTAACCATCCTGTTCCCATGTGAGGTGCTGTTCTACTTGATGTCAGAGATTGTTTTGGTCACCCTAGGAGACCTTCCTGAGACACCCTGGTGTCTTGTGTGTCATAGGCTACCTTGCCTATGTCTCTGTACAAAGTCTGCTTTGCCAGGGAGGGCATTCTGTGTCTTTTCAGGACAGGTATCATCACAGATCCCGCCAGCAAGTCCAGCAGGGCACATCCTGGCTGCTGTCCCTCTGGAGGATGGTGTGCACTCAATC